AAAACTTACATGTATGTTCTTCCAATTCTTAGAAGCCTTTGGTTAATTCTAGAGTTCTGAAAAAGCTGATTTTGACAACTTTTGTTGTTCATGTTGCTTTTACACAACAGTGGATTTTTAAGAGATCCTCGGGTGCTCCACTGTAACAGAAAGGTTAAGTTTTCAGCTACAATTGCACACTAATTAAAATTCCTTTAATTATGCTTGTAAGATTAGCATGCAAAAGGTGTGTGTGTGTGTGTAGATATTTGCAAGTATTTCTAAATAGACTGCCATGGAAATTTAAGAGATGCCTTTTCTCATCAGTCATTTCAACTACCTTATGTTTGAATGAATCATGAGCCTAAGCTTTCTCAAGTTCACAAGGAAATGATGTTTTCTTCCAAAGTTTCAAAGGATTAAAAATGATAATGTAGGGCTGGGCATGTGGCTCAAGTGGTAGCACGCTCGCCTGGCATGCATGGGGCGCTGGGTTTGATCCTCAGCACCACATAAAAATAAAATAAAGATGTTGTGCCCACCGAAAACTAAAAAATATTAAAAAATTCTCTTTAAAAAAAATGATAATGTAAAATTTATTCCTCATGAGGTTCACAGGATTGAAAATGGTAATGTAAAACTTAATCAAAACAGTGTGGCAGAGGGGCTGAGGATGTGGCTCAAGCAGTAGCACGCTCGCCTGGCATACGTGCGGCCCGGGTTCAATCCTCAGCACCACATACAAACAAAGATGTTGTGTCCGCCGAAAACTAAAAAATAAATATTAAAATTCTCTCTCTCTCTCTCTAAAAAACAACAACAACAACAACAAAAAAAAAAACAGTGTGACACAAGTGTAAGGACAAACAGACCATTAGAATACAAAGTCCCAAAATAAAATACAAAGTCCCTCTCATATGCAGGCAACTGATTTTGAACAAGGATGCCAAAACCACTTTGGAGAATGAACTATTCTATGGCTAAGAAAACTGGATGTCCACATGCAAATAATTAAAGTTGGACCCTGAAATTTCACCATATCCAAAACAAAATGGATCAAAGACCTATGTGTAAAAGCTAAAACTATGAAACTCTTAAGACAAAAACAGGAAACTCTTCATGATACTGGATAGCACAATGATTTCTTCAATGACACCAAAAGCACAGCTAACAGAAGAAAAAAAATAGATGAAATGGATTTCATCAAAATTAAACATCTCTGTACATTCTGTACATTAAGGATACTGATCAAGAGCAAAAAAAAAACACAGACACAGATGGGGGAAACATTTGCATGTCATATAATAATTTCCAGAATATATAAAGAACTTGTACAACCCAATAACAACCTAATTTAAAATGGGCAAAGGAGCCAGGACACCTGTGGTCTTGGCTCCTTGGGAGGCAAAGGCAGAACTGCTTGAGCCCAGGAGTTCAATGTCAGATGAGACAACATACTGAGACACCCCCCTCATTTCAAAAAGTAATATTAATAATAAAGCACTGGGCATGAAGCTTAGTGATAAGAATGCTTGCCTAGCACATACAAGGCCCTAGGTTTGATACCTGCAGTGATGGTGGTGGAAGGAGCTGAGGATGTGAATACACATTTCTCTACAGATGATACACAAATAGTCAACTAGTACATGAAAACATGCTCAACATCAAAAGTCATTAAGGAAATGTAAAAACTACAGTTGGAGGACACACCCTTTAGGATGGTTAAATATAACAATTAGGATTGATATTTWAAAAAAATAGTGTTGCAGAGATGTATAAAACTGCAACTCTTATTCACTGCTGATGGCAATGTAAAATGTTGCAGCCACTGGAAAATAACTTTGGAGTACCTCAAAAAAATCAAAGAGAATTACAGTATGATCTAGTAGTTCCATTTCTTCCTATATATCTTAAATAGAAAGCAGGGACTCAATTTTATACTTACATAGTAATAATGTTTGTTATAGTGTTACTCACAATACCAAAAAGTGTCTATTAATACATGAGTAAACAAAATATGGYATTTACATGTTATTATCCAGTCACATAACAAGGGAAGATTATGGAGATTATTTATGGAGATTATTTACTGTATAAACTTTCTTTTTGGAATGATGAAAAAGATTTGGAAATAGATAATGGTAAACATTACACCACACTGTCAATGTATCTTATCCCAATGAACTGGGCATGGTGGAGTGAGCCTCCATGTCCCAGCTACTCAGAAAGCTGAGACAGAAGAATCATTTGAGTCCTGAAGTTTGAGGCCAACCTAAGTAAATAGCCAGATTCTGTCTCCCCTCACCCCCCCCCAAAGTTAAAGTGGTAAATTTGACTAAATATATATTACCATAATAAACTTTAAAAAATAATGTATACAAAGGCCTTTATCAAGTTTGGTGAGTCACTTGAGCCTGTGGTTACAGAAATTACTTGTATTTACGAACCCCTGGCCACTAGTGATGGCCAACAATCTCTACTTCCCCTGCCACAACACACACACATATATATATACACACACTCTCAATGTTCTATGAAATACCTATAATTACATCTTGCAAAGGATTACACATCCAATGACTTCACTAATGATGCAAACAGTTTATGTCCTCCCATACTGACAGATAAAAACACATACATTCTCTAAGCACAAAGCTTATAGTCACAAATAACTTTCTGCTTAAAGACAATTTCAATTAATAACCACAATGGGAATTTAGTTATGTAATGCAACCACTAATCTAACATGTCACCAATAAAATCTAAGCAGATTTATCACAAAACCAGGGTTATATTCATTGGACATGCATTAATAATCTATACAACTTAACATTACACCAGAAAAGGAATTTATAAAACTTCTCTTAATTTTTGGTGGTTTTCAAATTTCATGGCACAATTACCAAAAAAACTGTAAAAACAGATTTCAAATATATTCAATAAAATGGTAAAAAATTGAATAAGCCTTTAAATTTTTATACTCAAGATTTAAAACATCAAGCTGGTC